GCCATTATTAGTCTCAAAGTGGGTTCCTCGTCATCGAATTTGATTTCATACACTGTTTTCACTTAAAATATTTCTGAGACTAAATATACGTTTTACAACTGGTATACCGTCTTCAGCAAATTGAAATATTTCCCACTCATAACACAGTTCTTATTGTGACTGATATAATTTTATTTTCAATTCTCCATTGAGAAAGTATATGAAATAATTTATTTAATTAACAATACTCATTGTATAATAATAAAAACAAACAATGGAGCGCCTTTTAACGTAGCAACCAGTGCTGAATAGCAACAACAGAAAATGATGAAATTATCTTATGATATTTATTCTTAACATTGTTTAACGCAAACTGGAGCTTACTGTGAGACATTTAACTGGATTAGGGAACTTAGAGTATATTGATAGCTCCTGACGAAGCTGTAATAGCGAAATGTTGAGCTAATAAAGTTATATTCCGGAGACATAGGTCGTGATTTTATTTATCTTATGATATTGTTTGTTAAAAACAAAATATTAATCAATGTCCGTGAGAGAAGCGAGACACTTTTCAGCCTTCTTGTAAATCCTACATATAACAATAGACAGCAGAAATGGATTATGCTGTTTTCTCCAGAAAAAAATAAATACGTCATAAATGGAATATGTTGCTTTCTTCCATAGTTTGTCAGCCTGCGCTAAGAAATGGGTCGATTTTTGTTTTCTAAGCTATTGTAGTCCTTCAAGCTGTTGAATCCATTTCTCGTGATGAATCACTTTGTAGAGAAATACGCGAGAGTATCTCACGCATACACATAGGCAGCAGGGTAGCCTTCTTTCATCGTGTTATTTAAGGGATTGTTAGCAAAACATCGAGACAGATAGACCCTCAGATACAAGAAAGGAATATTTTGTCAAACAGGAGTGGATACCGTTGGTTTCTCTCGTTCCATTTGCAGCCACTGTAAGAAGATATACGCAGCTGTTAATTTTGAAATTATATCTTTGTTTGTTTCAGGTATCTTTATAGAAAAACAACTGTTAACAACTAAAACTGAAATACCCCATTGGGTGAAATTTTGTGGTCAAGATAAAGTACATTAACTAAACAGAAACTTATTATTATTATTATGAAACTAAAAATATAACACCTTAGTAACACTTACAAGAAACTTACATTTCCTTTTCCTCTATAAAAATATTTCCATTCTAATAACAATTAATAATCATGTATATTATCGAACAAAATAGTAGTAATTATTTCTTCCGTTTACTCGATTTGTTTCCTAGTTAAACCGAAGGTTACTAGCCTGCTGCTAAAACAGTAATTATCTGCCTTCAGATGGTTGTATACAGCTTAAATAGTTTTAACTTTGTCAATTAATAACGATTTTATCAACGAAAACCATCACATAATGTTTTGTTTTGATTCACAGATATTTCTCAGTCACAATACACCGAGATCGACGGAGATCATCTGGATCAAATGTATAGCAGTACATGTTTCTTTATTTCTTTGTTTTTGTTTATGCTTAAAGCCAAACCATGGGATATCTGCACTATGTCCAACGCTGTCTTGATCGAATCTGCGATATTATGAGAATTCATGTTGCAGAAAATTAACAAAGTTGCTGCCCTGTCTAGCTTATCAAGTTAGATCTGATCGCAACAGTCCTTCTGAGGACTTCTCTGAAGGTGGTAACAGATTAGCAGCTAAACCTACGGTATAAAGTGAATGTCATTTAGTATCTAATAATAGCAATGACATTATTAACTAATTAGTTATCGGATTTAGAGGTTATTATAAACTATAAATCATGAAAATGAGAGAGCATACCTATCATGTTGGACTGAACAGAACACTTGAAAGTGTCAACCTTCTATCCATGAAAATGTGGTGTTTTTTCCTTAGTAATGAATATAAACCATATTTTAGATCACGTCACATGGTATTGCGAATTTACGTTCTATACCTATCATGTTGAGTCGTACTTAATTTCGGTTTCCTGAGTGACTTTTACGCAAGATATAATGCGATCATATTACTCTTCATACTTGAGCCTAGAATTAATACTACACCAACATAACAGTAAAATGAATAAAAAAGTATGACTTCAACACGTGGGACAACGGTAAGTTTACTGATATACACCGCTAAAATCCTGGGTTCGATTCCTCGCGGTGAACACAACAGATAGCCCAAATATGGTTTTGCTCTAAAACAGACTTCAACATTAGCAATAATCTGTTGATATTTCTAAGGTATGTAATATTCTTCCATACAACCTGAAGTAAACCAGAAGTCTCCACAGTATTTTTGACCTTCTAACAGATGTTCTTCCTGATGCAATTTCTAACCCTCACCTACTTTTTTCTTGAAAATGTATCAACATTTTGTAAGCTATATCCACTAATTTATCATGAAAGTGTTTTTACGAAAGCTTGTTTTGCATGAGATTTATCCTTATCTCTCACACTTTATTTTTTCCAAGATACATGTAGTCACATAAAAATATTCTCACGTGATTTTTTACTACTATAGCATTGAATTAAGGCTTGTAAGTATATTGCTTGAAAGGCGTTATCTGAGAGAATGTATAGGCAGAGGATAGTACACTTGAAAGGCGTTGCTTGAGAGAAAGCATAGACAGAGGAGAGTATACCTGAAAAGCGTTGCTTGAGAGAAGGTGTAGACAGAGTAGAGTATAATTGAAAGACTTTGCTTGAGAGAAGGCATAGACAGATTATAGTACACTTGAAAGGCGTTGCTTGAGAGAAGGTATAGACAGAAAAGAGTATACTTGAAAAGCGTTGCTTGAGAGAAGGTGTAGACAGAGTAGAGTATAATTGAAAGACTTTGCTTGAGAGAAGGCATAGACAGATTATAGTACACTTGAAAGGCGTTGCTTGAGAGAAGGTGTAGACAGAGTAGAGTATAATTGAAAGACTTTGCTTGAGAGAAGGCATAGACAGAGAATAGTACACTTGAAAGGCGTTGCTTGAGAGAAGGTATAGACAGAGTAGAGTATACCTGAAAAGCGTTGTTTAACAATCTGTTCAAGAACTGCCGATTTTTTCATTTTTTTATTATGTTAGCGATGTACGTCTAGAAATATTATATCACTCCTGAAAATGTATGTGTGTGTGTATGTAGCTGCAAATGAATTACAAATGTTACTGTATGTAGCAGTAAATGAATTACAAATGTTACTGTATGTAGCAGTAAATGAATTACAAATGTTACTGTATGTAGCAGTAAATGAATTACAAATGTTACTGTATGTAGCAGTAAATGAATTACAAATGTTACTGTATGTAACAATAAATGATTTACAAATGTTACCGAAATGTAAGGGCTTTGACCTTTGTTTGCTTGCTTTGTTGGATTTCGCGCAAAGCTACATGAAGGCTGTCTTTACTGGCCGTCCATAATTTTGAAGTGATATACATGAGGGAAGGCAACTAGTCAGCGCCCCCTCCCTGCTAACTCTTGGGCTACTCTTATCAGACAGAATAGTGAGATTCATCCACGTTATTCTTATAACGTACCCTCAAAGTCCAAAGTGTTGAGTGAAATTTGACCACGTTATTATTATAACCTACCCTCTAGTCTAAAGTGTTGAGTTAGATTTTTTTTTCTCGGAGGAAACAGAACACGAGCCATGGAGCCTTAGATCCGCATTCTGTTACGCCAACCACTGCGTCGTTCTCTTCCAAAATTTAGAGTCCAAGACCTAAAACGTTTCATTTTGTTCAAATAGCAAGTATAGTTATAGTGAAGAGAGAATATTTGGAATTAGTAAGCCCACTTGTATTTGAATGGTGAATATTATTGGCATGAGAGTTACACTTGCTTTGTGTTTATAGGATTCGCACATATATAAAATCGGCCCGGCATAGCCCGGTGGTTAGGGAGCCTTTAGCCGCGAAGGCGTTATATTGTGACGGTCAATCTCATTATTCGTTGGTAAAAGAGTAGCCCTCTAGTCTTTCACTGCTAAATTAGGGACGATTAGCGCTTTGCGCAAAATTCACAGCAAACAAACAAACGTATATATAAAATTAATTTTAATTTAAAATTAGATGATGATAATAATAATAATAAGTAGTGATTAATGCAACAAAGTACACATAATTACTAGTTTTTTATTCCAAATTACAAATTGTATGTAACGTCAGTCAATTCTTAAAATCAATTTAAATATATCAAAGGAAGCGTGAATACTTTCAGAATAAATATCATTAAATGAAAATCCTGCCTAACTCATTCTCCTTTGATTTGATTTGCTGACAAACAGTTGTACTTCTGTCAATGATAATGATCATTTCTGTGTTGGGGTTGTAAGTACATAGTTATCCGAATGCATGATTACAAGTAAACAGAATGATTTCAAATTTTCAGAAACACACAAAATGATGCTTTTATGCTATATGTCACAAATCAAGGCTCCTATTGGGTCAGCGGTCAGCTTGTGGATTTACAGCGATAAAACAAATAACACAGGCTCAGAAAGAACAACTGTTGTTTGTAAACAATGTTAAATTATCTTGTATAGTTTCCCTTAAATGGCCTATAAAGATAAAATTTGGGATTCGATATCCGCGGTGGGCGCAATGCTGATAGCCCACTGTGTAGCTTTGCCCTTGAAGAAACACACAATCTTATGCAATCGATTATTTAACTCGACCCACTCCTAATCATACTCACTTACTGTAAATAAAATTGTAACTAATTATCCTGGATTTTGTTTGAGTTAATTTGCACACTTGATAACTTTGGATTCTTCTGGGTATTAAAGTGAAAATTGCAAGAAAACAAAAGGACACAATTGGCCGTTACATATCGACTTCATTAAGTTTTTCACCTTTTTATCGTCTTTTCGGTTGTTCATTAACGGAGTTTCCACAGAGAAGCCTTCCTCTTCCTCCTCCGTTTCGTTGCCTGGAGACGATGCTAGTTTACTAGACTTATGGAAGTCTATATCGGCGTATTCTGTTGGTGGATCGACAGATTTTCTTACAGTATTGGTCTTATTTTCTGGTAAAATCAACTCGGCGTATGTAAGTTCTTCGTTATTCTGTGGAATACAAACTATGTATGTTATGATCAAATTAAAAAAAATATGTATGTTATGATCAAATTAAAAAAATGTGTATGTTATGATCAAATTAAAAAATATGTATGTTATGATCAAATTAAAAAATATGTATGTTATGATCAAATTAAAAAATATGTATGTTATGATCAAATTAAAAAAATGTGTATTTTATGATCAAATTAAAAAAATATGTATGTTATGATCAAATTAAAAATATGTATGTTATGATCAAATTAAAAAAATATGTGTGTTATGATCAAATTTTAGTTAATAAATAAAACTTTGTAGTGTGCTTAGTCATTTAAGTTTGCTTCTGTTCTTTATTTTTGTCATACACAATCCATGTAATTATTTTTATACCAATAAAATCTAATGTATAAAAGAGATGATACGCCCTCTTTCTTACATAAGTTTTTCTTGTCTTTTCTATTTGTTATACAAACCAATTATTGTGAAACATAAAATTAATTCACAGAATAATAATATACATATTTAGTTAAGCAAGCGTCTAACATGAAGCTATATTTTGAATCACAAGAATAGTGTAGGCCAACAAGTAGCATATTCTAAAATTCATATAGTTTTATTTTGTCATATTAACGTATAAAATAACGTAAAAAACATGTAAATAGAAATACGTTACATCAACTTTAAATTATCCGTCTTTCAGCAACTTTTATTTACCCGTGAAAAACGTTACCAATTTCAAGCACTTTGTGTTCATAATCCACCTCCCACGAGACAACATTGTATTTAAAGGTCAATGAAATAACGTTAAGTTTTAGTGTAAAAACGTTGTACATGAAATAACGTTAACCTTTAGTGTAAAACCGTTGTACGTGAAATAACGTTAATCTTTAATGTAAAAACGTTGTACATGAAATAAAGTTAATATTTAGTGTAAAATCGTTGTACATGAAATAACGTTAATATTTAGTGTAAAATCGTTATACATGAAATAACATTAATATTTAGTGTAAAAATGTTGTACATGAAATAACGTTAATCTATAGTGTGAAAACGTTGTACATGAAATAACGTTAATATTTAGTGTAAAATCGTTGTACATGAAATAACGTTAATCTATAGTGTGAAAACGTTGTACATGAAATAACGTTTATAAAACAAAATAAGAGAGAACTTGGACGAAGAAAGTTTCCAGCAGAAAGTTACACTCGCAAATGAAATAGATCAGTTATGACACGGATTGACTTTATGATGTCTAACTAAAAATAATTTAACGCAACTGTGCATGCACTGTGATTTATCTTGATGAAATGTCAGAACTCTTAACAAATGTTGCTTATATACGCTTCATTTTTAATTCTCTAGTGGCTATGTCACGCCAATTGTCAAGCGAGACGTTGAACTATGTTACGTCATTAATTTCGTAGAAATGCTATTGGAGCGCGTGTAATTACATATTTCATTTTGTAGAAACAGGGGTACTTGTACTTATATTCATGTGATTACCACTCATTACTCATAGATAATAATGAAAACATCGCATCTAACTACAGAAATTCAGAAGTAGTTCGTAAATCTATTTTCTCCACAAAAGCTTGTCTGATCCCGAGTACACGAATATAAGAAAACATAATTATAATTCACCTAACAAAATATTTGAAGCTTATGTTGTATGGAAAATTACGTAATTTTATGTTCTCTTGATAATGTTTTGACATCTATCACGGTTTCTAAGTGCAACATGCTTTAAAAATCATTTTCAAACACACGATGTGAAGAATAAACACCATTCATTTATTCATTTTTACCAAACTACATTCTTAAAAACTATAGTTTCTCGCATATATTTATTTATTTTGAGTGTAACGCACACTGATAATATTCTAGAATACAACCAACTGTAGTTGTTTATAATATATATATATATTTATCAATTTTATGTGTGTGCCTTCCTATAACTTCAAATAATGCTAAGAGTTATAAGATGAATAATACTTCAATACATATATTCCAGATTTGAAGTTGTAAACAGGAATATCTATTCGAACAGCAATCATTTGTTGATCAAACAAAGTCTTATCACGTGTATGCTCCTAAGCACATCGTAGTTTCTACTTTAACCGATCTTCGAAAATTTAATTTTCAATGAATAACAAGTAGCATCAAGTTCAATACGTCTGTATAAAGATATATATATTAGCTGGAAACACGAGGAAAGAAAGTTTACATAATTAGGATATCATGTCTCCCAACTAAACCTATTGAAAGCGACGAAGATGTGAACAGACAAAACACAATAAGTAAACACTACTTATCCAATTCTGTTACCACAGATATAATTAAACTGTGCACTACTGTGTGTACACATATATAACCACTGTCAACGAGAAAATCCGCTGTAAGTAACGAAAACAAGTATTTCACGATAATTAATCCATGATTTCTCGGTCTCGATAACTTTGTGAAGAGTATGTTTTCACTTCACAATATCTAGTTATCCCGATGATTACTCAGTTATTTAACAACCAACCAACCCTTACAGCGATATTGTAACTGAACCGAATCAGTAATGTAGTTCGCCCTTCACAATATCTAGTTATCCCGATGATTACTCAGTTATTTAACAACCAACCAACCCTTACAGCGATATTGTAACTGAACCGAATCAATAATGTAGTTCGCCCTTCACAATATCTAGTTATTCCGATGACTACTCAGTTATTTAACAACCAGCGATATTGTAACTGAACCGAATCAGTAATGTAGTTCGCACTTCACAATATCTAGTTATTCCGATGATTACTCAGTTATTTAACAACCAGACCAACCCTTACAACGATATTGTAACTGAACCGAATCAGTAATGTAGTTCGCACTTCACAATATCTAATTATTCCGATGATTACTCAGTTATTTAACAACCAAACCAACCCTTACAGCGATATTGTAACTGAACCGAATCAATAATGTAGTTCGCACTTCACAATACCTAATTATTCCAATGAGTACTCAGTTATTTCACAACCAACCAACCCTTACAGCGATATTGTAAGTGAACCGAATCAATAATGTAGTTCGCACTTCACAATATCTAATTATTCCAATGAGTACTCAGTTATTTCACAACGAACCAACCCTTACAGCGATATTGTAAGTGAACCGAATCAATAATGTAGTCCGGCATCTATCTACTATTACTATACTCCATATTTAATAGATTAATGAGATACATTTAGAAATGACTTGGCTTGGCACTTAATATTCTGGACCATTTACTTTATCAGTATAAACAACACTGGAGTATTGTATAACTTTCACCACATTCAACTAGGCTATCAGTAAATTTTCTCGGTCACGCCTTAAGCTAATCTGATTATTGTCATGATATACATGGTACGACGAATGGTAGCAGTATTATATGAACAATCATGTTTGATAATTTTTAACGGCACCTTCAATATTCGACCTGTAAATATACTGACCTTTTTTGATGTGTATTGTGGTTTACTTATGATATTTTCATAAGTATGCTCCCGCTGTTTATTAAGGTTTTCATACGTGCATTGACTGGCCAAATCTGTAGGTTTTGTGGTAACATTTAAGGCTATATCTGTATATTCTGGTCCTGGAGAAAACGAAAATCAAAGGCACTCATTTAGATAATGTTCGAAAAATATTACCTTCAGTAAAGAAAAACAAACGAACCTCTTCTACTTAAAATCACGAAACTATTAAGTGTTTGGAAAGTAAAGCATGATCGTTATAAGCTACGCAAATCAATATTTAATTTGGAAGAATATATGATGAAACTTAGTTGAATGGACGTCAACTGCCTGTTGTAGAAACACAAGAGTAGAGGAATGGAAGAATTCTTTAGATATATTTCAATCAGCTGATTTTACTTTCATTTTCCCAAAACGAAGGAGAGAGAGAGAAAAGAAATCATTATCAAGTTTATGTAATGACAAAAATAAGATTAACCATAATTATATTGCTATTAATTTACATATTTATTTCTTTTGAAGGTTTCCTAATAGATATTAAGGTATTATAAATGTGAGAAAACATTGCCAAAATAATCTTTTATTACTTTTTATATCTGTCTTGAACTATAAAGTTCAAAATAATGAGTACTCATAAACACTCTATACACGGAATGTTACCTTCTAGGCTCATAGATTTACTCCAAAACACCAAAAAGCATATATATTTGTGTTATTTTGCACCGCTGAGCGTCTGTCGATGTGGATAAACCCCTCAAAACCCCTGCTATAAAACTACGTAAGGGTACCCAACTGCACTGTAATATATGCATAGCAGTTCCAGAAAAAAAAAAGCATTAGTCAAACCCACTATTAAAGGGAACACGGCTTCACTGCCATATTGCTTTGCAACGCACGGCAGCCAATCAAGTAGTTACAAAATATGATAATGGGTATTCAATTTTCTTTAAAAAAAAGTAATAAAAAGCATTCAAAGAGCTAGAATTTATTTCTAAAAATTATGCTATACCTTTCTGATTTACCTAGAAAAAAGTCTATGTCTCTGGGTAAATTTATGGACCGGTATTTTCTAGGTTTTTATTCCAACTACCTTAAGTTTAATATCTAAAACCGAATATTCGAGATGATACCAAACATTTACTGAAGAAAATGTCATATTGTTAACAGTTATTTTGTTCAGTTTTATTTACGTTTATGTAACAAGTATTTTAACGAACATTAAAGAGATAAGAGTGACATAGTTATTTCATTGAGGTTTTTCATTCTACGATAATAGTTTCAGATCTATATATATGACGTTCTATACTTTATTTCGAAAATAATTTCTAATTGATTACAAAAAAATTATGTTCAAATGGATTAATGTAAATTTTGCCGAAACACTTTCTCTCATTGCTTAGCAAACACTGACATAAAACCAAAACGTATAAAAACTTGTTTTACTGTCAATATTTTCCTACGAAGTTAAAATGTTATATAAGTTAAATTATCACGTTATACACAAATCTTATTTTTTACATATGATATTGGCTTAGTCTAAGGCAGCCACTTCTTTGTGCATTGTATCTGTATATATATAGAGCCATTCGTCTCTACAAGCAAAGGGTTTTAACATACTAAAAAATACATAATAAAGCACAAAGTATAGAAGGATATAAACATCTACTAAACCTGATGGAACGTTTCGGGGAGGTATAACGTCTGGACACCTGTCTTTTGTTTCAGAACGGTCTTCTGGGTTCTTCATTTTATGTTGATCTGACCTAATAAAATTATTTGAACGCTAGCTAATAGAAAAGAGGTTAACTTTCACCCCATTTTCCTAATAAATAGTGATTTTGACAGATTTTCTGTAATTATGAGCTAGCGAATCATTTGCTAACGTAAAACATTTCAGTTCAAAACAAACTAGAACAACAACGACTCAATCAAAGTATTAAATTTATGCTCAAAATCTCACTTGCGTGATAAATACATGTGCATAAGCTTAAATACTGAATAATTAAATATTGATGGTCAATTCTAAAAGGTAAATATCTGAATTAGTGGTAGCCTAAAACTACTCTTTAGACCTTGTAATTTGGAAAACAAAAATAACGATTAATGAAGAAATCTATGCTTAGTTCATAATTCATGCTCAAGGCAGTAAATTCATAATATTTTACGAAACACTTTATAAAATGTAAAATTATATAGTAGTTTCAAAACATAGTATCATCAATGTTCCACAACAGTTTTTAATTTCTGTTACATTTCCCATATGGTTTTACGTTACACTAAACAAACTACAAGTATTTTACTTCCAAGTAATGTAAGCTACTTACTTATCTTCTGTGTCCGTTAGAGGTGTCTCACCTGTAGGAAGTAAGGATATCCATATCGTTAGTGTCTGAAAGTGCGTAAAGAAAATATAATGCAATATGCAAAAAATGACAACACGTTTAAAAATTACAACAGTCATTATGCCACAGCGATACAGTCAAGTTTTCATAATACTGGACTTTCCACCTTCTGGTAGCTAGGGCAGATTACGCGTTACGGAACTGAGAACTGGTGCTAAATATGCTTGTCTTTTCAGTTGAGGGGGCTGTTATAATGTTGCTGTCAATAGCACTATTATTTTAAAGGGTAGCCCAGCAGTTGACGGTGGGTGCTGCCGGTACTCAGATGGCAGATATCGTTAGTAGTTTTGCCATAAACAAACAAACTTTATAATCTAAGATATTGTTATTTTTCCCACATGAAGATTGCTTGATTGATCGAGAAAGACTTATGTATCGTATAATACTTTTAAAATAACATTTAATAAAGTACGACAAACGTAAGGATAAAATAACATAGGATTTGACGAATATATCAACCTAGTTATAACAAGCCGTCTCCGAAATAAATTCCGAAATATTCTCTTTTGCGATATTTGTGAGGAAAAGAAAAAGTGATTTAATAAAAGCAGTTAATACTATATTCTGTATTGACCTCACGAAGTTTAATTCTCTAAGTTACGGCATTATACTTGATCATAGACGTTCAACATCTACACATTTTACTGATTGCTTTTTAATGAGCTCAAGAAACGAAAGTAAACCGTGTTTTATAATCATTTTTTCACACACACACACTTAAGAAAATATTAGCTATTCTTATTTTTATGACTCAGCAATACCTTTGGGATTTTTACTCTATTAACATTTTTCCTAGGACCAACAAAAGCTTTTGCTATCGATTTCACACTGCATTTTATACAAACTGATTTTAAAAATAGAGGTCTTTGATCTGAAACGAGTTGATCGTTATTTACGCTGAGTATGGCTTGGTTTGGTTTATTTTGAATTTCGCGCAAAGCTTCACGAGAGCTATCTGCGCTAGTCGTTTCTAATTTAGCAGTGAAAGGGAAGGCAGCTAGTCATCATCACCACCCACCGCCAACACTTGGGGTTCTCTTTTACCAACGAATAGTGGGATTGACCGTCACATTATAATAGCCCCACGGCTGAAAGGGCGAGCATATTTAGTGGGACGGGGATTCGTACCCGCGACCCGCAGATCGCGAGCCGAGCGCTCTAACCATCTGGCCATGCCGGGTCTTTACGCTGAGTAAAACAGTAAATATTACAGAGAAAAATTTCTTAAACGTTAATACACTTCTATGTAACGAATGTTTTAGTTATTTTCTTGAAATAAGATGTACTTGAATTATGCAATTAGAATAAGCTCACATTGTTCACATTACTTGTCTTGCTACAACTACCTTAATACGATGCGTTATATAATCAGAATACAATAATACATTGATCAACAATATTGAAATTTCATGTAATATCATACAGTGTTGAATCATTGTTCCAAGTTCAACCCTGACTGGAAAAAAAAGTAAATACTCTTGACTTTTCTATCATTTCATATTTTTAATTAGTCAAATTCAAAATATATTCAAATCCAAAGAAAAATGGGATTGATTACTATTTAATCGGTGGAGCTATGCTTCCAATGTTTTTAAATCTAACTACAATCAACTTATTACAAGTTGATGTTTTTTAAGCATAATACTTCTATATGAATGTGTAAATGTTAAAGGTGGATTGTAATAGAAACATATAATGCAGTTTTGTCCTTATAGAAGCCAAAAGATGTTCGCAAATAAAGTAAAATTTGATCAATAAGAGTATGGCTGATCAGTATTCACAGATATATACTTTTCGAGACTAGACCGCCTTACATGCCCAACATTTGGAATAAACAAGTGAATTTAATGTAATCCAATATGTCCATCGGTGGCTCAGCAGTAAGCTTCATGGTTTTATAAAACTAAATATTCGGTTCCTTTCTCAGCGGTGGGTTACAGCGCAAATAGTCTATCATGTATTTTTGCGCGGTAAAACAAAAATGTATTCTGCTGTTTTATTTTGTTTGCATTTACATGTCATTTCTTAACACGTTTTTGTGGTATTATTTTCCTGGTTCGGAAAATATATATCAATAATTTAGTAAACTAACCAATTGTATTTAATTGTTATATTTTGTAGATTTCTGATTTCAAAAAAGATATTGTTTTGGATATAACAAAAAATACATCAAACAAGTATAATAAGCAAATTACACAACAAATTATAAACTGACATAGTAATTAATCAATATATAAACAGATAATTATCTGAGGCTATTTGTAAAAAATCTAAAACAATGGTAATTAATCAATATATGAACAGCTAATTATCTGAGGCTATTTGTAGAAAATCTAAAACAATATATGAACAGCTAATTATCTGAGGCTATTTGTAAAAAATCTAAAACAATGGTAATTAATCAATATATGAACAGCTAATTATCTGAGGCTATTTGCAAAAAAATCTAAAACAATGCTAATTAATTAATATATAAACAGCTAATTATCTGAGGCTATTTGTAAAAAAATCTAAAACAACGCAATCATACTTCTCAATTTAGATTAAACTGCAAAATTTACAATCCTGAAATACCATATTTGTTATCTCTTTTTCTTAATTACATGTCTTAATTCATTAAATTACAATTTGTAGTTAAATATATAATAACTTTTCACTATTTAGTTATTATCATGTCAGTACACTTATTTATCCTTTAAATACAAGAAACATACAATTCGATATAAAACTCATTAAGAATATTTTAAAGAGTTACTTCAAACATAAAATATGTTAGTACAACTAAAAAAAGCTATAAAAGTAAATAAAGGTATAATATTAGCTGTACTATCATTCTAATTAGGTACTAACGTTTTGTGCTGTTACTGTGGTATGTTGGAAGACTAAAGTTGCCTGAAAAGCCTTAAATATTAACTGAAATAAAAATTAAATTTAACACATAAAGATAGCCTCATTTACAAAGTTCAAAATGAGAATTTAAACACACAACACGATCTAAGTGTTGTTGTATTTTTGACACTACCTCTATTCATCTCGGATCTTCTTTTCTTCACAATAACTAGAATAACGAACGCCAAGATGGCTAACACGAGTATAATACCCAAGAGAACAGCCAGAACAGGACTAATGAATACCTGAGGCACTGACCCTTTTGGGACGAATAAAAAAGAATAAAAACGAACATCATATATGTACATAAATATATATCTATTTTACAGAATAATGAATGGTTAAATCCTTCAGATACATGAAATTTGTTTTAGCCTTAGGCAACATCTCTTGCATTACAGAAACAATATATTTATTGCTATAACCTTAGGCAACATCTCTTGCATTACAGAGACAATATATTTATTGCTATAACCTTAGGCAACATCTCTTACATTACAGAAACAATATATTTATTGCTATAAAAAACATACATAAGACGATGAAATATACATTAGGAAGTTAAATATGTTTAACATTTAGACCCAGTTTCCCTACTTCAATGAACACAAATTGAGAAAATTAACATTAATTCACAAAGGAGTGGTTCAAGCTGGTCCTACGCTTATGCAAAAAAGCCTGTTAAGCAACACGATTGTCAACAGTTATGCACACGGAGCATATTATTTTTCTTACCGTTTTCATCGTTTCGTTGTTTTTTGGGACTGTCTACATTATAAATCAAAACTTATAAAGTTTAGGATAATGGGATTAATGGAGGAAGAGGTCGAACGCACCTGATTCTACCAGGTCTTTAAGATCTGAAACCTGACAAGGGAAGCGTGTGTGGGATTAAACACCAATATACAATGGTTGATGACTGTAAAAAAAAATGTCTGGCATTGCCTGGTAGCTAGGGCATTCTACTTGCAACCTGAGGGTGGTGGGTTCGAATCCCATCACCAAACATGCTCACCCTTTCAGCCGTGGAGGCGTTATAATGGGTCGGTCAATCCCACTATTTGTTGGTAAAGAATAACCCAAGAGTTGTCAATAGATGATGATAACTAGCTGTCTAGTCTGTCGCTTCAAAATTAGAGACGGTTAGCGCAAATAGCTCTCGAGTAACATTGCGCGAAATTCAAAACAAACAAAAAATGGCTGTAAAAAGATATTTATACTACAGTGTTGATGTAGGATGAAACAAGTGACTCTCTCACAAAAAAAACAATAACAACTTTGATTTGAATTTGTCACTTGTACATTATTTCATCGTTGAAGTCCCCCCGGTGGGTCAGTGGTGATTTTATGGAGTTACAACTCTAAACTAGAATTTGATTCCTCAAATAATGTTCATCCTTGAAATTAGCAGTTTTTAATAATAAGAAAAAAAGAACGCTTTTGATGCAACCTGGAAAACCTAGTTGCTAAATATATTTTTTCAGCACAATTCCTACGAATGTATAACTAATGAAACTTTAATTAATAATAAACTGGATTAGGAGGACGTCCCCTAGAAATAGGGTTTTGATACCGGTGGTGGGTAGAGCACAAGTGTAGCTCTGTGCTTAAGTTCAACGCTAGATATAGGGTTTCGATACCAGTGGTGGGTAGAGCACACGTGTAGCTTTGTGCTTAACTTCAACGCTAGAAATAGGGTTTCGATACCGCTAGTGGGTAGAGCACAAGTGTAGCTCTGTGCTTAACTTCAACACTATAAATAGGGTTTCGATACCGGTGGTGGGTAGAGCACACGTGTAGCTCTGTGCTTAACTTCAAACAAAGAATTAGAAGGAATCTTTGAATTATTGTCTTGTATTTTTTTTCTGTTTTATCTTCATTTTTTGTGATATTGTTTCAACTTGTTGTTCAAAGTAATCAATAAAGAAAACTTTACCCACAAGACTTACCTATGTGTTTTTCAGCAGTAAAGAGTGTTGTGGCCGTTAATGTCACTTTCGAGCTTTTCCCTTTGGCATTGGAAGCGTAAACAACAATCCTCAAAGGACTGCCTGATGGTAAGCCAACAGCTTCAAATACCGGATGATCGAGTGATGTCATGTTAACTAGCAATATCTGATATTTTCTACTGTATATTTCTAGATGGAATTGTTGTAATAAACCTCCGTCATCTCCTGCTTCACAAGCAAGGTTTAGTGAACGTTCTGTCTGATTGTTGATAGTACAGTTAGAAACAGATTCAGGTTTACCTGCAAGTGGATGTTGTAGTAGTAAAACATTACAAGACTATTATTATTAACACTCACAATGTATAATTTTTATACCTAAATCATAGGACTACGATTACTTCTAACATGATTTTGGCCATAGATCATAGGATTACAATAAACTCTAACATGACTTTATCCATATATTATAGGACAACAATTACCTCTAACATGATTTTAGCCATACATCCTAGGACTACAATTACCTCTAACATGATTTTATCCATACATCATAGGACTACAATTACCTCTAACATGGTTTTAGCCATACATTATAGGACTACAGTTACCTCTAACATGATTTTAGCCATACATCATAGGACTACAATTACCTCTAACATGATTTTAGCCATACATTATAGGACTACAATTACTTTTTGATGTAAGACACAACATAAAAAATATACAGAATCAATAATATACGTTTCTTTAAAACTTTCAATTAAATTATCTGGTTTATTTACTACTAAATAAAGCACCAAATGAAGCTAAAGGTATAAAAGTGAATGCTTAAAATGTTGTTTTGGAATACTTAACATATGGACAGAAAAAATATTCAGTTGATATATTACTTATTATGCAATAACTATCATTTACTTTATGTCAGTTATTAAAAGTATGTATACATCGTTATACCATTTAGGAGTTCAATAAAGATACAATACCACGATTCTCATAAAATATATTCTTAAAGACATTATTACCAGCTGGAATGATGGTGAAAACACAAGGTCTACGCTGTTCTCCAATACTGTTCTTTCCACGACACAAAAGTGTACCATAGTCAAACTTAGTTCTTGGTATAAAGTAGGCTGAACTGATAGTCCCTGAACTGTTAAAAGTCATAATATCAAGGTATTTTTGGGAGTTATTAAAACTCCATCGAAAAGAAATATCGATGGGATCAGCCTCGAGATGACACGTAACACAAACTCTTTCGTTTCTACCAACACCATACACTGTCTTCTGACCTGGAGCACAATCTGGAGAATCTGAAAATCATTACTTAGTCAGAAAAAAGGAATTTCATAAAACTTACTATTTATATTAATATCAACATATCTTTATACCACATGCGTTTAATTTTTATTTTATACTAAATAACTGGAATGATATTAGGAAGTTACACAAAAGGCTTATTAACAGGAATAAACTAAATCCCTGAAACTATTATTATATAGATTATTAGGTCGTCAAAAAATTAATGTCGCTTTTTTTTCATATAAAAAAATGGAGACTATTAACTTATACATCAAAACAAAACATTTATTAAATGAATAGTCTCCATTCTTATCGATGATGTTTTTCCATCTTACATTCAGGATTTTAATGCCCTGATTAAAGAAGTCACTTGGCTTTGAAGCAAGAAACATATCGATATCCTCTTTAACATGTTCCACATTTGCACACGTTTTCCCATTAAAATGGTGTTGCAACGAACGAAAAAAGATGGTAATCTGATGGCGCCATGTCTGAAGAATATGGTGGGTGGGGAGAACTTTTGAATCCAACTCCATAATGTTGTGTTGCGTCAAACGTGCCACATGTGGACGTGCATTGTCGTGGAGAAGAAGAACACCTTTCCGATTGACGAGTGAAGGGCATTTCTGATGAAAAGCTTGATTTAAACGTTCCAGTTGCTGACTATTGATCTCCACATTGACAGTTCGATGTGGATTGAAGAGCTCGAAATGAATTACTTCTTTGATGTCCTACCAAATTCAAAGCATTACTTTCTGCGGATGAAGTCCAGGTTTTGGGACCGGAAGTGGTTTTTGTCAAGGACTAAGCCATTATTTTTGGCGTTTAATTTTCGCATAGAGAATCCATTTTTCATCACCTGTGACAGTTCTGTCCAAAAATGGTTCACGCGCATTACTCGCCAGAGGAGACGAAGCAACGTTCACACGTTGGAAACGATGATCATCGGAGAATTCGTGAGGCACTCAAACAACTTCATTAAGGAGTTTTCCCATATTCTTTAGATGTTTACGTATTGTTTCATGAGAAACATGCAATTTCAGGGCCATTTCACGAGTGTGTTGCATTGGGTTAGACTCAACAAGCGTCTTCAGAGCATCAATATCAATTCCAACATATCGGTCCCTCCCATCGCAGTTTTTAAGGCTAAAGTCACCTGAATGAGATTTGCTGAATCATCGTTGACACTTACGAACGTTCAAAACATTTCCATAAACTTCTTTGATATTCTTTGTGGCTACAGAGGCGTTGTTCCCTTCTTTTATTCAAACAGCATTACATGCCGAATGTGTGTCTCATCGTGTGCCATCACTAAATTTTACACATTATAAAGGCTACACTAACGTGGCGTTTAAGCTGTTCATTTAACTATCACACGTGATGTACGTTTCTTTTTGGGAGGTGGTTAAAAAAATTTTCCCGGTAGCAAATAAAGGTGGATATTTGATGCTCAAATCTTTTCTTGAGATGTGGATTCTCTGTGTCAAATGAAAGTCAGAAGTTCACTTGACCTGTAATAACCAATAAGTTATCTTTCCGCTTACACAATCTGTCTCCTTGGTTCTTTTATCAGTAACCAATAAGTTATCTTCCTGCTTTCACAGTCAACATCAATCTGCCTCCTTGCTTGTTTTATCAGTAACCAATAAGTTATCTTCTCGCTTATACGGTCAACAAATAATGACGATCAATCTGCCTCCTTGTTTATTTTACCAGAAATGATTATTAAGCTATGTTCTTTTAAAAAGTTTTATAATAATCGTAACAAAATAAGTCTTGTATCGGGAACTTTTGACAAACTATGCAGATTTAATATATATTGTTACATCCTGCTTATCCATCAGATTAAATTATAATGTGTTTCAAATAGTACCACTGCCATACTTACTATGTTAACATAAACTAAATTATCCTTGAAATCATTTATGTTATTGTTATCACTTGTTTACTTCGAAATTTTCAAATAAGTGTACAGTGTACTGAAAGGTATCAGAAGACCATCCTCTGTCTCTATTTGTTGATAGCAGTTTTTTTCCTTTCCCTGTATTGCTTGCTAAATGATTACAGAAAATATAGATAAAATCAGAAATGCATTGAATGTTTTTTGTGTTTGAACTTAATATTAAAATGCCCGTGCAAGTTAATAATACATGTACGTTCATTCTCCTGGAAATTAAGTCAAAATTCCTATATCTAATATAAAAATTTTAATTTGAACGTGACATATCGATTATGTACCATTAGCTACAGAAATTGAGTTCTCTACTTATTGTATCTAACGTAAAATTGATTTCAAATAGATGATTAAATTTTCTATCAAACCAACAAGGTGTGCTATAACAAAGTGTGTAATCGACACTTTGTGAAATGTAACATTTAGAAGATGCATTACAAGAGTGACAAAACGAGGATGATGGATAAAAAAATTAACTTATTTCCTATTTTGGGCAAACTAAAGAGTTCTTGTTGTTAGAAGCTCAAACCGGCACAATAGGTTAACTGTGCTCTGTACGCTGCGGAGAATCGAATCCCGAATTCAGCGTTGTAAGTCCGTAAACTGGGCGCTGACCCACCGGAGGACAAAACCGAACAGAAAAAAGCACACAGGCTAGGTTGAATTATACAGTCTTGGCAAAAATATGTTCATATTTTGTAACAAATAAGATCATTATTATTAAGATTGAATAGAAATACACTTAGCACTGTCAAACTGAGAAATGTATGTTATATTAAACATCTGTTTGTGTAATTTGTATAATAAGACAGGTTCTATGGACATCATAAACAATTTATTAGAACAGCAAACAATTTTATCAGACATCTGTAGAAAGATGTGTAAATGAGCATTTCACATATCACAACAAAAACTTACCAAAACTTATATAATGACAAAATATAACATCAAATTATTATGAATAGCGTCTGTAACCTTACATCAATTCATATTAAACATTAAGTACTTGGTTGGTCCTCCTTGTACTCTAACCACTTCCACAAGGCGACGTGGCATACTGTCGATGAGGTTCTTGATGTGATCCACCGTGATTTCCTCCCAACTTGTCGCTAGAAGGCGCTGCAACTCAGCTACAGTAGTTGGTTTAGAGTCGTGGTTAGAAATTTTCCGGCTCAGTTCTGCCCAACAATCCTCAATGGGATTACAATCTGGAAACTTTGCTGGCATGACAATCTTTTTAACGTCCTCCGGGTTGATATTATCCTGTACAATACGTGCACTGTGAACAGTGGCATTGTCATCATGGTTATTGCCAAACCTTGCCCTAGCATATGGCACAAATATCGTCCCCATGCCATGCCTGTAGGATACGAAGAGCGTTTTTTCTACCATAATGAATAGCTGCCCAAACATATACTGCACCGCCTTCTGTGGGAAAAACAATCTTCCCTCATCTGTTCTCCAGGCAAACGACGAAAACGAATTCTACCATCAGATTTAACAAGCCAGAAACAGGACTCACCTGAAAAGATGACATGTCCCCAGTGTAAGTTGGCATGTTGTGTTACCAAAGTTACATGGTGACGACAGTGAATTCTGGATAATATTGATTTGCAGGTAGCCCTTCTTGTGAAATAATCTTTTTTCGTCAGTCTCACGTTCACTGTTATTCTGGATACCCTGGAATGAATAGTGTTCGTGCCATTCCAATCGTAAGATGTTGCAAGACTTCTTTCAGACCTTGACGTCTTAACCTGATCAAAACAGACTTTCCTGGAACAATGTTTCATGTAGTCCGATGACATTTCGGGATTCTGGATACAGTACACTGGGGATTCCTTACTGCTCTAGCAATGTCCGTTTGCTTCATACCATTTCTGGACAGACGAGCAATTTGACGCCCTATAACTTCTGGCCAGGCATAACTCTACACCAAGTACAGAGAAATTGTCTGAAAAAAGCGTTGATCTGATTCGGAAAAGATTATACCAAAAGCACATCCTTTTATACAAAATAGGTGTGTATGTGTGTTTTAACAAACAAATGCTTAGAATAACTTCTCTGTTAGTACTCTGGCATTTACTCAATAACTACTCCATACATGTAGACAGTAACATCAATATGGAACACTATGCAAACATTTTGACCAAGACTGTATTTATGAAACTACAGATGCCTTATAATATTAATAAGTTGACATCAGTCATTTATTTGTTGATTTCCTTATGTGGAATACTTTAATGAACCATTTATATCTCATGTTAAATCGATTGCAATAAATAAATTGTTTAATGATGATAAGAAATAAAGTATATTTCATATAGGTATACTTACATAGCATAGTTTGTAACTTCACATTATATCATTAACACATATGGTTCTTAAATATATTAAAGTAGCATTCTCTGACGTAAGTTTGATATGCGTTTTAATATACTATAAGTACAATAATACATGCGACCATTTATAAAGAAAATTTAAAGAAACACAATCACATCGAAATGGAAAAATAAAACGAAACGAAATTGAAAAACAATAGTAATAGCAAAAGTTATTGTACTTTATTGAGTTACTATTCTCAAGCCCATATAAAAATAAATGAGTTTCTAAAGAAATGATTATATTGCCATTCCTTGAGAGCATTTTAACAAATTGAAAGCAGTTGTTGGGTAAAAATACATTATCATATATCGTACTATAGCAATATGTACGAGTGCTATTTGTTTGTTTCTCTGTCTTGTAAGTACTTATACTTGGAGCTTGTAAGTTCGTATCAAATGTATAGTCCTCTAGTGGGTCATCGGTAACTTTAGGGACTTAGAACGTTATAATACGGGGTTCGATTCCCTATGAAAGACAGATAGAAGATAGGTTTACGGAGTTTAATTCGTTTCTGATTAGCATAAAGAGTAAAACTTTTATACTGTGTAATATACTCCTCTACGCTTTTATGATATTTTGTTCACACTGGATATTCTGTTTTACACACCCACACGAACAGTGTGAATGATAGAAAAATTCACAACTCTAGACTATACTGTAAGAGAAATT